TGCCCTCCCCCTCATGCCCTCCCCCTCATGCCCTCACCCCTCATGCCCTCACCCCTCATGCCCTCACCCTCATGCCCTCACCCCTCATGCCCTCACCCCCTTCTCCACGGCCTCCTCAGCCATGTCCTCTTCTCTCTTTTCAGTGGATGAAAGACATGTGGCGCTCGGATCCCTGCTACGCAGACTATGGAGTGGATGGGACCTCCTGCTCCTTTTTTATTTACCTCAGTGAGGTGAGTCTTTCCGAAGACGTGCAGCTCTGTGCTGGGGCTCTTTCTTCACTGGGCCTGGATTTGGGAAAGCTGAGAAAGATAAGAAGGACCTGTGATTGCCTTCAGTATCCTCCCCACACCTTCATGAAAGTCTTTGTTCTCTTAAAGGAAGAACAGCCTGGATTAGCTGTTGGCTTTGTTTGCTTCAGCTTTCCTATTTCAGTAAAATACACAGAATGTAAGGATTTCAATCAGCATCACTCTGTTTATTTTGTTTTTCTCTGTCCTTTTTTTTTTTTAACATTTATTTAGTTTGTCTGCACTCACACTTGTGTACCATGGCACACAAGTTGGAGACAAAGGACAACTTACGGGGTTCTCTCCTTCCCCATGTGGGTTCTAAGGATGGGACTCAGTCATTAGGCTCGGTGGCAGGCAACGTTACTCCAAGCTGTCTGGCCAGCCTGGCCTTTGGGCACAATCGTCAGGCATCTTCAGATGTACCAAGTGGTGGACCCAGACTGAGAAAGCAGACCTTCAAACCCAGAGCCCGGATAAACTCTTCCTCCAATAAGTTGTTTTTGCAAGGTATTTAGTTACAAAGAAAAGTAGTTAATACACTTACCTTCTTCATTCTATCAGAGTCACAGCCCTCCCGTCCCTCAGCTCTGGCCTTTGCTCCCAAGGCTACGAAGATGCTGGGTGTGTGGGCCTACCACCGGGGCACGCTACAGACCTTTTCAACAACCCCCAGACATCAGGGGAGCCCCAGCTTTATTGACAATAAGATGCCTTCTAGAAAGCACAGTCTAGCCGGGTTGTTCCTTGTGTGTTCTGTGACAGTGATTTTGCTGCATTTGTTTGAGCCTGTTTCTGATTCCTGGCTTTGCAGCCTTTTTCTTTCCTCCTGCAAGGAGAGTGAGGCTGTGAGTAACCTTCGCCCCAGTGAGAGCTCAAGCAGAAGCACCTCTCCTGCCCCAAGGGAGACTCTTCAGGTTCATTTTGAAAAGTTACCTTTGCAAATCCCCTTTCTGGGATGGAAGAAGCCGGAGTTCAGATGTGGGCCATGATTGACAAGCAGGGCTCATTTCCGGTTTGTATGCTGGGGAGGGCTGAGGACATGAAAGATGTCAGATTCTACTTGGGTTTCCCAGCCTCTTCTCCAGCTCCTGGGGGGAAAGTAATACAGTAAACTAAAAGATACCGGAACGAATGGCTTGAGATAGGTTCCTTCCCTTTCAAACTGCTACCCTGAGGGCACTCCCAGTGGAGGAAGGAAAGTAGCCATCTGGGGACAAGATTCCAAAGGGCAAGCCACCACACTGGTCTGTATGGAGACCTTGGTCTCATAGGCCTGTACTTACTCTTTTCCTGAGGTGTGTGCAGGCTTCAGTAGCCTAAAACATAAGATCGGTCTCTTTCTTCCTTTCTAGCCGATTCAGTTGGGTGAGCGCATCCGACCTCAGTGGTAGTCACTGCCTTGTCAGCAGCGGCTGAGAGCTCATTTTCTTGTCACTGTGCCAGGCATTCTTTCTCTTAAGAGTTTAATGGGAAGAAGAAGAGAGAGTCAGACGGGAGAGGAAGAGAGGAGGGGTGTGATTAGCTACAGAGCAGAAGATACAGCTCCTCTCCAGGGATGGCTGGGAGCCTTGGGGTAGTTAACACTGATGGTCAGCTGGACCGGCTCTAGGGTCGCCTAGGAGAGGAGCCTCTGGATGAGTCTGTGGGGAGGTTTGTTGAATGGACTAAGGAGGGAAGAGCTAACTTAGATGTGGTCCCGAGGGCTCAGGTAACAGAAGAAAGCAAACTGGGTACCATCGTTCATGTCTCTCTGCTTCCTGGCTGTTGGTACCACGTCACCATCTGCCGCTGTGCATGCTCCACCTTGGTGGACTGTGTCCCCAGATGTTCAGCCGAAAGCAACCCTTCCTCCCTTGAAGTTGCTTTTGTCAGTAAGCAAAGCAAGGGATGTGGACCCTTTGTCACAATCAGCCTCTAGAAATGACTCTCTCTCTCACTAGGGCCTGTTCTATTGTTCCACGTGCCTCATGACAGCCGCAGGAGGGATGGCCATTCCCGAAAGGTCACTACCCAGGAACATCAATCACGCTAGCTCTTCAGCCACTCCTTAATCTCTGTGACACAGCCTAAACTCGTTTCCTCAAGTCCTTGTATCTGGACTTTTGTTTGTGTTTCAAGACCTCTACCTACCGTCAGGGTGGAGTGGGGATGCCCAGGTTTACATCAGAATGTCCTTAGAGAGCAGGCAGAAGACACTCAGTAAACATAAGTGATGTGTTTATATTTTTTGATGTTACCCTTATTGGAGGATATTCTGGATGGGCTTGCTGTTGTGTTTTAGGGTTAGAATCAAATCACCAGTCTAATTTGGTTTATGATAAATCATCTGGTATGACTTCTAGTCATGTAAACACTGAATTCTGCCCTTGGTTACCTGGTTGGTTGGTTGGTTTTTACTTGGGGAGCAGTGTGCATTTGAAGGCCATGTATCTTCCTCTGTGGCCATCTACCTTACTTTTTAGGCAAGGTCTCACTAAATCTGCAACTCAACTATTAGGCTAGACTTTCTGGTCAGTGAGCCAGCCCCAGGCATCCTCCCATTTTTGTCTCCTCAGCACTGAGATTACAGGTGTGTACCTCTGCTTCCAGGTTTTTGTTTGTTTGTTTGTTTGTTTTTTTTAATGTGCTGTGGATTAGAACTCATCTCCACAAGCTTATGTGGCAAGCATGTTACCAACTGAGCCATCTCCCCAGTCCTGTGTCTTCCTTTCTAACTGATAAGGATTGTTTATGTGTGTGGTGTGTAATGCGGTGTTTGGATAAGCATGTGTGTTGCATGGAGGCTGCTTGTTGCATTTTTGGCCACCCGGCTAGCTTAGATCCAAAATAACCACACAGAAACTGTATTCATTAAATCACTGCTTGGCCCATTGGCTCTAGCTTCTTCTATTGGCTAACTCTTACATCTTAATTTAACCCATTTCTATTAATCTGTGTACTGTCACATGGCAGTGTCTTACTGGGTTAAACTCCTAGCGTCTGTCTCAGGTGGATCCATGGTGTCTCTCACTCCACCCTTCTTCCTCCCAGCATGCCATTTAGTTTTTCCTTCCTACCTAGGTTCTGCCCTATCAACAGGCCAAGGCAGTTTTTTTATTCATTAACCAATGAAAGCAACACATAGACAGAAGGACCTCCCACACCACATGTGCATTTTGGAATGTCTGAGGAAAGCTAAGGAATGCATATTACTTTATGTTCTTTGCATGTGTATAACAAACACACTTGTTCTTGACTGCTGGTCTCCCAGTGGGATGCTGGTTTGCATTTGTGTTGAGTTGGTACACAGAGCCAGTTGTGAGTAATTAATTGAGACAGTTCCCAAAGCCAGTTTCTTAACCTTGTGGCAGTATTAAAATCCAGGACAAGGGTCTGGAGTGATAGCTTAGCAGTTACCAATGCTTGTTGCTCTTGGAGAGGACCTGAGTTTGGTTGCCAGCACCCATAATAGTAGCCTTTAACTCTAACGTCAGGGCATCCCATACCTTCTGTCCTCTGTGAGTACCTGCATGTAGATATCTCTCTCTCTCTCTCTCTCTCTCCCTCTCACACACACACACACACACACACACACACACTAAGAGAAAATAAAATGGGGGGAGGCAATGCAGCTATGTGGGCCTGTTTGTTCGTCTAGATTTTTTTCCTCATCCTTTCTGGTTGTCTTATAACGTTTCTATTTTGTTAAACTCTGAGACCTGTTACTTCGATATCACACACCAGGTTTCTCTTGCAGTTGGCAAAATGAGAAAAGCATCTTTGTTTGACTTGTTCTGTAAACTCAATCAACACATACGTGGGCGACGTCGATCGCATTTCCAGCCTTTATTGAAAGAGTTGAACTCATTTCTGGGTTTGGTATTAGAACAGAGGCAGATACCAAGAAGACCTAAAGTAAATGTCACTTGGCATGGATGGAAATCTTTAGGTTCAGGAAGTGCCTCTCTTCCTTTATTCCCCTCCACCATCATCTTAGCATGCCCTCTTGAGCTGGGTGATGGAACTGCAGCCTTCGCTCTAACCAACTTGCTCCTCTGGAGCCCATGACAGTTTACTGTGCTTATACATATGATACGTTTACATACTAATCCCATCGTCCCCCACCCCGCTTCGGTCCACACACCCCCACACACAACTTTTCCACCTTCATGTCCTCTCCTTTTGCTTTATTTCTTAACCCACCGAGTCTCATTAGTGCTGCCTGCTGGAGTGCTGAATGGCTTGACTTTGGGCGGTACTTGTCCAGGGAACCATAGCTGCGGTGGCTCCTGAGGGCAGCAGCCGTCTCACAGCTCTCCTCCCCATCCACTGGCTCTGATAAGGCTCTTCCATTCCTCCTGGTCTCTCCCGAAGTCCCCTGAGCCTAATGAGGGAGGGCTTCCTATTGATGTCCAATTAGGGCGAGCATCCATAGCCACTATTCCCAACACTTCGGCCAGTTCAGAATCTGCATGGCTACACACCCAGAAAAAGACACTTCTCTGACCAAATCTGAGATGTAGTAGAAATGTAATTATTTAGAAGACAGTGTATATGTCCATTTATCAAGGTAATAGTGGTAGTTGTCTCCCAGCCTACCCCTGGGTCTTTAACCAGCTAGTAATCTACAAATCCTTTTTAAATCCATCCCCAAAAGTGCAGCCTTCTCTGTGTGCTCCTGTAGCTACTCTCTGCTGCTTGTTATCTGACTGACACCGCGTTGGTGACAACCATGCCTCAACAGCAGTCCAGGATTCCCCTCTTTAAGGATGGGCTTGTGAGAAAGCCAGAACATTCCTGGAGTCGTTAGGGTCAAGCCTGGGCCCTGGCAGTCCTGGTAAGCTAGGCTTAGTCTCCTGTCTCCAGTATGCCTCTTAGGGACAAGTAGTAGTGAAAGCAGAGGAAGATTATCCAAAGTGGCCATATTAGAGAGAGGAACAAATAAAGAGGTCCAGTGATAC